ATAAAAATGTTGAATTCATTGAAGTCGCCATGAATCACCCCGTACAAAGCAAATTTTATTATATTGTTCATCAGTTTGTCGTAAAGAGCCTTCACGTTGTCCAGTTCTTGCACGCGATGAAGAATAGTGCCTGAAGAAGATGCCGTTTTAATTTTAATATCTATAGGTATAGGGTTATTGATTGAGCTTCGGCCACCTCGTTCTTACATCTAATTTGCAATTTAGAGAAAAATGTTAAAGAAAAAATTTGTAGATATTAACGTCTAGTTTCATAATATTTTTAAAATTGAATGCCGGTCTTTTTATTGCATATTTGAACTATTAGATCGGACTTTTAGGCCTATTAGAGAAGCCAATAGTTTTTTCAATTTCCAATTGTTTTTAAATGGCAATTATATTGTAATTAATGCTTATTGTGTTAATAACCGATATTGGTTGAGCTTTGGCCACTTCGCTCTTGTATTTAATTTGAAATTGAGAGACAAACAATTAAAGGTAAACGTTGTTGATATTAACGTATGGCATCTTTTAAGCTAATATCAATTGATACAGGGTGTCTGAAATTCAAGTAGCAGGCCAAACTTACATTTTTTAAATCAAACGCCGTTCTTTTGTGCCATATTCGAACTATGCGTCAAAGCCTTGGACAATTTGTTACAAATGTTCTATATTGGTTTTCAACTGTTTTTCAGTTAATTACTGATATTGATGGAACTTTGGCCACCCCGCTTTTACATCTAATTTAAAATGTTGTGGAAAATGTCAACTGCAGAAGTTGTAGATATTAACACCTAGTTTATTTTCAGAGAATACCCACATATCTATAGAATAGAAATTCAACAAAAGTTACGGCCATTCATATCTACAACTTTGGTATTTAGCATTTTTCCCCTCAATTTCAAATTAAATAGAGAGGGGTCGCCAAAACTCAAGCAATATTGGTTTTAACTAAAAGAACAATTGATAAAACTATTATTTAACTAAACTAATATTTATATCAAATAGGCCTAGAATTGTGAGTATAGTTCGATTATGCAATAAATAGAATGGCGCCCAATTTAAAAAATGTGAGTTTGGTTTGCCTCTTGAATTTCAAACACCTTGTATCAATCGGTGTCATCTGAAAATAAACTGGCCATTAATATCTACAACTTTTGTGGGTATTACATGTTTTTCTCTAAATTTCAAATTAGATGTAAAAGCGGAGTGGCCAAAGCTCAATCAATATTAACTATTACCTCAAAAACAGAAAATCAGTGTGGAACATTTATACCGAATAGACCTGCACTTCGAGTTATAGTTCGAATATGCATTAAAATGTACGGAATTCCATTTAAACAAATGTAAGTTTAGTCTGCCCGTTAATTGTGAGACACCCTGTATCTGTTGCTATTCTCTTAAACTAAACTACACCTTTATATCTACAGGCTGTGAACATAAAAATTTACTTATGAAAGACTCACCTTTGATCAGCTCCATTACCAGACAATGTCGACTGAGGTCGTAGGGTTGAGGCACCGGAAACTGGCGATCATGCAGGACTTTCATACAAGCGAACTCCTTGGTCGCTGATCTGGCAGACAGGTTCAGCCAGGAAGCAGACTTTCT